AAGTTTCTGGCTCCTGGCTTTGGCATGGCTCAGCCCTGGTCATCGTGGCCATTTGGGGAGTGAACCAGTGGATGAAAAACCTCTCTCTCTAACTCTGCCTTTCAAATAAAGAAAATAAATCTTAAAATTTTTTTTTTAAATTTTTAAAAATACTGATAAAATATGAACAGTTCTGTAACTATCAAAGAAATTGGATTTATGATTTAAACACGAAAAACCCCAACATATTCACTAGTCAATTATAGCCAACAGTTAAGAAAGAAATTAGGTCAATTTTACACAAATTAAAGATAAATGAAAAAGAACAATAGCCAACCTATTTTACGAAGTTGACATAAATGATACGAAAATAATCTTAAGTACTAGCACAAAGAATCCAGCAATATGTAAAAAGGATAATTAATCATGAGTATATAATTCAGGAATTGTATTTATGCATATACTTACATTTAGAGAATAAAAAATTATCATCTCAGTAGACATAAACACGTATAAAATTGAACACAATGGATTTTCTTTTGTAAGATTTATTTAAATGAGAGGCAGAGTGACAGGAAGAGGAAGAGGAGAAGGACAGAAACAGAGAGAGAGAGAGAAAAATATCTTTTATCCACTGGTTCACTCCCCAAATAGTTATTAACAGTCAGAACCGGGCCACGCCCAAGCCAGGAGCCAGGAACCCAGGGTCTCCCATATGGGGAGCAGAGGATCAAGTACTTGGAGCATAAACTGCTGTCCTCCCAGGTGCATTAGCAGAAACTAGATGCAAAGTAGAGCAGCTAGGACTAGGAACAGCACTCTGATATGGGACGCTGGTGTCGAAAGCAGAAGCTTAACCCACTGTGCCACAACGCTGCCCCTAAATCTTATTTAAAGGAAAAAATTAAGAATAAAAGGAATTTCTTCAGTCTGAATGAGAGATATCTACAAAGTTACAGCAAATACCATACTTAGTGGCAAAATGCTGAAAATTTTTCCGTAAAATTCAACTGCAATACTACACACAAATGAAACAATAGTTTTAAAAATAACAAATATGTCCAGGGACTCTGTGGAAATAACTATATTATCAAAAGAAACTAAACATAACCCAAACATAAATCCTACCAAGTACTATTTTTTCTCTTCAGAACTTAAAGAACTAATTCCAAAACAGTCATGGGAAAACAAACAGCAAAGAATAATCTAAGACACTCTTGAAGAAGTATGAGGTGGGAAGACTTGATTTACTGGGTATCAAGAGTTATTCTAAAACATCATGCTGAACTAAGTGCATGTCCACACAAAAATGAAAATTGAACTGTACCTCACAGTACAAATTCCTTCTGGAATATAGATCTGAACGTGAAAAACAATAAAGCTAATAAGAATAAGCATCTTCATGACCTTAGTAGGACTCAAAAAGTATCACCCATACATTGATCAATTGGATTAACAAAGTTGCAAGATTTGTAACTAATAAAGGATATATACCTTCAGTATGTATAAGGAATAACTATAAATCAAGAAAAGAACCAAACAACCCAAATATTTAGTAAGCACTTTAGGAAAGTATTGATTCTAATTAATTAATTTTAAAGGCAGAAAGTGAGAATTTCCATCTGCTAAATGCCTGTAACAGTTGAGACGAGGCCAGACCAAGCTAGGAACCAGGGACTTAACCCATGTTTCCCCCATGGGTGGCAGGAACCCAACCACTTCAGTCATCAACTGCTGCCTCTCTGGATGCACATCAGCAGTAAACTGGAACTAGAAGCAGAGCAGGACATGCACCCAGGCCCTCAACAACACCTGTCCCAATAAAAACCAGAGAGTTAAATGGCCATAAACATACAAAATGGTACTTTACCTTGTTACTAATTACAGAAATGCAAAATAAATCTACAGTGGGGGACAATATTACTAAACAGAAATTATAAAGGAACCAAATAGAAAATTTGGAATTGAAAAATCTAATACCTGAGAAGAGACAGAATCAGCCCCTAAGGCATTCGGATCTGGCTGAAAAGTCCATGAGAGCATTTCAGGCATGGAAAGCCAAGATATAGTGGCAAAAATTGTTCTGCATGAAGGATCTCTGTGAGTGAGACCCCAGTGGAATGAAAGGGCCATCAAAGAAGGAGGTACCTTTCTCTGAAGGGACAAGAGAACTTCCACTTTGCTTATGGTCCTGTCTAAATACTGATAGAGTTTGTGGACTCAAAAGGATTCCATACCTAGATAGTTCATGTGAACAGCTTTGGGTGGTAACTGACATAAAAAATAAGAGTGTTCATTGTTAAATCAACATCAGGAGTCACTGTGCATTTACTCCCCATGTTGGACCTCTGTCCTTAATGAATTGTACGATGAGAATTAATGTTAAAACTTGTCTTCAGATTGTACTTTATACTTTGTGTGTCTGGGTGAGTGCAAACTATTGAAATCTTCACTTAGTATAGAGTTAGTCTTCTGTATAAAAGTCAATTAAAAATAAACCTTAATGAAGAATGAGATGGGAGAGGGAGTAGGAGATAGGGTGGGATGGGAGTGGGGGTGGGAGGGTGGGCACTGGGGGAAGAACCACTACATTCCTAAAAGCTGTACCTATGAAATTTGTATTTATTAATTAAAAGCTTTCTAAAAAAAAAAAAGAGAGAGAGAAAAAGAAAAAGAATTAGCAAGCTTGAAGACAGATTGACTGACATTATCCATCTTGAAGAACAGAAAGTAAAAACAATTTAAAGAGTAATAATTTAGAATAATTAAAAATTTGGGAGGCCGGCGCCGCGGCTCACTTGGCTAATCCTCCGCCTGCAGCGCCGGCACCCGGGTTCTAGTCCCAGTTGGGGCACCAGATTCTGTCCCAGTTGCTCCTCTTCCAGTCCAGCTCTCTACTGTGGCCTGGGGAAGGCAGTGGAGGATGGCCCAAGTGCTTGGGCCCTGCACCCCTGCACCCACAAGGGAGACCTGGAGGAGGCACCTGGCTCCTGGTTTCAGATCGGCGCAGCCGGCTGTAGCAGCCATTTGGGGGGTGAACCAACAGAAGGAAGACCTTTCTTTCTGTCTCTCTCTCTCTCACTGTCTAACTCTGCCTGTCAAAAAGAAAAAAAAGAAAAAAAAATTTGGGGTGTGAACCAGCAGATGGAAGATCTCTTTCTCTCTCTCTCTGCCTTTCTGTAACTCTGCTTTTCAAATAAATAAAATAAATCTTTAAAAAAAAGTGCCTATGTAATTCTTGATAGAGATATACACTAGAACTCTAAAAACTTGTTTGGAATTATCTAAGAAAGGTAAACACAAACATATCTGATGATCCAGCATTCCCACTTGTAGATGTACAAGAACTAAAACATGTACCTGTGCAAGATTGTTCATAGCAGTATTATCCACAGAAGTCAAAAACTGAAGACAACCCAAATCCAGAATGTATAAATATCTATCTAAAACTTTCTAAAATAACATGGATGGATTACAACATACTGATGAGCAAAACAAGTTAGACTTGAAAGGGTTTATCTTTTATGATTCCATTGGGATAAAGAAGAAAAACAATCAGGCAATATTAAACTGCAGTGTTTTAGAATGCATGCTTAAGTCACAAATCTATAGAGAAAAGCAAATAGAGTGATTAATATAACATCAGGCAGCTAGCAACATCCTACTTTTTGAGCTAGGTTGTGGTATATGAGTATTCATTTGCTTTGTAGTAATTCCTTGATATGTATTCTGGAATATATTTTTTGGTACATTTTTCTTTATGGATACTACACATCCTGATAAAGTTTTAAATTTTTTAAGGTATGCTTACATAAAATAAAATAAATACTTAAATAAATACATAAAATAAAATACTTAAAATAGTGAAACTATCTATCTAAAATAAACTATAATCTTACCTCTGAAAAATGCTTAGTATATTGATAAACAGTAATTTAACCACCCTTGAAATATACCATCCTATTTATCATACAATTATGATGCTATATATTTTATAATGTGAATGCTGAGCTATTTAGTTCCTAAAACAGAAAAACAAATTGATCCTAGCAGGCAGAGATACAAACCTGTCAGATCAGGCTGAGTACAACATAAGGAGATGAGGTAATGGTTTAGAGGCAGCAGTATCTTTCCCTCTCCTCAAGTAACATCAGGTCTGACATTTTCAGTACTAGTATGCCTTCTCTCTCTCTTTTAAAGATTTATTTATTTGAAAGAGTTACAGAGAGAGACACAGAGAGATCTTCCATCCCCTAGTTCATTCCCCATATGGCTGGGCCAGGCTGAACCCAGGAGCCAGGAGCTTCATCTGGGTCTACCACATGGGTGGCAGGGGTTCAAGTACGTGGGCCATCCTCCACTGCTTTTTCCAGGCTATTAGCAGCGAGCTGGGTTAGAAATGGAGCAGCCTGGGGGCCAGCGCTGTGGCATAGTGGGTAAAGCCGCCATCTGCAATGCCGGCATCACATATGGAAACCGGTTCATGTCCCGGCTGCTGCACTTCCAATTAAGCTCTCTGCTATGGGCTGGGAAGGCAGAAGAAGATGGCCCAAGTCTCTGGGCCCCTGCACCTGCATGCGAGACCTGGAAGAAGCTCCTGGCTCCTGGCTTCAGATCAATGCAGCGCCTGCCATTGCAGCCATCTGGGAAGTGAGCCAGTGGATGGAAGACCTCTCTCTCTCTCTCTCTCTCTCTCTCTGCCACTGCCTCTCTGTAACTCTGCCTTTCAAATATGTAAATAAATCTTAAAAAAAAAAAGAAAGAGAGCACCCAGGACACCAACCAGTGCCCACACAGGATGCCCGTATTGCAGGTGGCAGTTCACCTGCGATGTCTCAACACCAGCCCATTAAGCCTTCTCTTGAGGTCAGATAAAAATGTCATAGACACACACCTTTCCATGAAGAAATAAGACATCGTCCTGAGAGAGGAGAAAACAGACTGAAGAAAAATACTTTATTTTCTGACACAACATTGTATATTGCTCTGGAAAGTTTTTACCATAAAAAATGGCCACTTACTTGATCAAGATTTGAAAGGCTGTTAGGATCCTGACTCAGCCCTTGGTACTGTCCCCTGAGTCTGTCCCCAGCAGCTATTTTCCTAAACTTCTTCAGATCCACGACATACAGTGCACTGAATAGAGAAGACACATTTGTTACAAGCAATCACGGATTATATCAGGAAAACTGGCCCCACTGAATTACAGAAGAGGCCACTAGCCAAGTACCTGGCTTCTCTTTGAAAAAGAAAGCTGCATCATGCACCACTTCAAAGATGTCTAAGAGGTTACTGCAAAATCCACGCTCTGTCACCACTAGCTAATATTTGTTACTGTTCCTTATTTAACTGTCCTCCAAAGGACAAAAGATATCTAACAAATGCAATGGATTCAGTAATAAAAGGAAAATAAATAATTTTTATTTTTTAGAAAGTACAAGTTTGGGGGCCGGCGCCATGGCTCACTTGGTTAATCCTCCGCCTGCGGCACTGGCATCCCATATGGGTGCCAGGTTCTAGTCCCGGTTGCTCCTCTTCCAGTCCAGCTCTTTGCTGTGGCCCAGGAGGGCAATGGAGGATGGCCCAAGTGCTCGGGCCCTTGCACCCACACGGGAGACCAAGAAGAAGCACCTGGCTCCTGGCTTCGGATCGGTGCAACACTGGCCGTAGCGGCCATTTAGGGAGTGAACCAACGGAAGGAAGACCTTTCTCTCTGTCTCTCTTTCTCACTGTCTATAACTCTACCTGCCAAATAAAAAAAAAGAAAGAAAGAAAGAAAGAAAGAAAGTACAAGTTTATTTTGGTGCAAAAAATGTTTTGCATGATATGTGGAAAATGTATATTATGAAAAAAACTAGGCATAAATTTCAAAAAATTTTTGCACCAAAATAAATTCTTATTTTTAAAAATTATTTGAAAGACAGAATTAGAGAGAGAGAGAGAGAGATCCTCCATCTGCTGGTTCACTCCCCAAATGGCTGCAATGGCCAGGGCTGTATTAACCCGTAGCCAGGAGCCTGGAGCTTCCTCTAGGTCTCCCTTGTAGGTGCAGGGGTCCAAGCTTTTAGGCCACCTTCTGCTGCCCTCCCAGGCACAGTAACAGGGAGCTAGACAGGAAGTGAAGCAGCTGGGCCTCAAGTCAGTGCCCATATGGGATGCTCAAGATGCAGGTGTTGGTTTAATCTGCTGCACCACAGAGCTGGTCCCATAAGTTCATACTTTTAATCCCAGTTTTCCATGAACACTTAGAAGTATCCTATGTATCCTATAAGTCTCCCTACTTTCAAATCTTTCAAATCATACCTTTCCCACAGAAGATAATGGAATGTTCATGAGAAATGCAACAAATACACCCACTGTTTAACCTGAGTTCTACTTCTAGGAATTGATCCTAAAAATACACTTGAAACATACAAAGTCATGTATTTAATAGATTGCTTATTATTTATTATAAATCATTATAAATTATTAAGACTCATATACTAAAATATCAAACAATTTTAAAAATAAAAGTCCCTCTCTATATATTGAAGACACTAAGTAAAAAAGGCAATTTATAAAACAATGTAACTAGCATGGTATACTTTGTACAAAAAAGAATACACATTCATAGCTGTTTATGAAAGAAGAAACTGTGCAAGGATAGACAGTAAATAAATAGGGGGAAGTGATCTGTTGTGGGGTGGGAACTGAGAAGAGAGATAGGATTAGAATCTTTTTTCCCACAGTATACTATATTTGGGATAGGACATAGGTATCTTAACTGCTGGGCTAAACACCTACCTCCAAACTCATACTTAAAATTTTTATAATTTTCACTTTTTAATTATTTTTAAACTTTTTTTAAGGAATACAACTTTATACATTTAATATATATAGATTTGAGAACATGACACTTCTTCCCCCTCACCTTCCTCCCACCCACACTCCCCCCCTTCCCTTCCCATTCTCATCCCTTATGGAGATCAATTTTCAATTAGTTTTTATACCCAAAAGACTAACCCCAATTTTGAACCAAACTAATGTACTACTTACTCACAATCTGAAATATTCAAAATTAATTTTAAAGATAGTATATTGTCATCAGGAGTACCCCTTTTTCAGTACCTGATGTGATACTTTCGCCCAGCTAAATGACTGGCCCAGTACCCCGACTTCCAGAACCTGTAGCCATCCATTTCTCTTCGGCTGTCACAGAAAGGAGTATAACCATATGGGGCACCGTCCAAATTGAAATCTCTTAACTCTTTCAGATCTGTCCGTACAATCTGGGAAAAGAGCATCAAAAGCCAACTGGTGAGTACCCACGCAGAGATCTATAAGGCAGTTTCGTTAAAATACAGAACACTTCCCTTAAGGCAGCACAGAGGGGAGCCTGGTGGGTAACGGCACCAGCTCCACCCTGATCCCTGCACTTACTGGCTGGATGCCATCACTAACAAGTAAAACACAGCCTAACACGAGGCACACGGTATTCTAAGTGTTCAGAGGAGCAGGAATACAAGAAATTTCAATTGCTTAGTCTCTCTGTCTCACTGGCTCAGGTTTCAGCCAGATCAGGATGAGACTCTGCGGTGGAAGTACATTTACTTGTGTGAGTTTGTAGGTTCTAACACCACCACGTGTTCTGGAAGACTATCTGCATTACCCCCTGTTACCAAGGCCACACAACCACTTGAGCTGTGTCAATCACCCATGCCAATAACTCCTATCTTTTGGGCAGATAATAAGAGATGTTGGAAAATACTATTTGCTGTGTTATGACTGTTGAATATCTCCCCACCCGTCCATGTGTTAATGTTAAAACCTTGCTTCTCTTCTGGCTCCTGCCTACAGATCGGCGCAGTTCCAGCAGTTGCAGCCATTTGGGGAGTGAACCAGCAGATGGAAGACCTCTCTCTCTGTTTCTCTCTCTGTAACTCTTTCAAATAAATCTTAAAAAAAAAAAAAAAGGCTTGCTTCTGGGGTGGTACTATTCAGAGGGGATGGAACCCTTGGAAGCAGGGCCTAGTAGGAGGCTCTCAGGTCATTGGGGGTGCATTCTTAGAATGGAGTTCTCCAGAGAGAGTTGTTATAAAAGCCCGAGTTTGAGCTGACTCACTCTGCTTCCTGGCTCAATATGTGACCACATGCTTGGACACGCTCCCTGCCATGGTCATCTGCTGTTCTCAACAGAACGCAAACCAATGGGCCCTACCCAATCCTGGACTTCAAACCTTCCAAACTGTGAGCTAAATAAAGCTTTTCTCTTTATGAAGCTATCTCCTGGGACCGGCATTGTGATGTAGCAGGCTGAAGTGCCACTTGCAGTGCTAGCATTCCACATGGGCACCAGTTTGGTCCTGTTCGCTTCACTTCCAATCCAGTTCCTATTAATGTGCCTAGGAAAGCAGCAAGGGATGGCCCCAGTTCTTGGGCCTCTGCACACATGTGGGAGACCTGGAAATGGGCTTATTTGAAAGGCACAGTGACAGAGACAGAGAGATCTTCCATCCACTGATCCACTCCCTAGATGGCCACAACAGCCAGGTCTGAGCCAGGCTGAAGCCAAGAGCCAGGAGTTCCATCTGGGTTTCCCATATGGTTGGTAGGGGCCCAAGTACTTGGGCCATATTATACTGCCTTCATTGGCACTGTAGTAGGAAGTAGAATCAGAAGCAGAGCACCTGAGACTCCAACAGGCACTCTGATATGAGATGCTGGAGTTGTAGGTGGCGGTTTAACCTGCAGGACCATAATACTGGCACCCATATTTATTTATTTATTTATTTATTTTGACAGGCAGAGTGGACAGTGAGAGAGAGAGAGACAGAGAGAAAGGTCTTCCTTTGCCGTTGGTTCATCCTCCAACGGCCACCGCAGCTGCTGCGCTGCAGCCAGTACACCACGCTGATCTGGTGGCAGGAGCCAGGTACTTACTTCTCCTGGTCTCCCACGGGATGCAGGGCCCAAGTACTTGGGCCATCCTCCACTGCACTCCCGGGCCACAGCAGAGAGCTGGCCTGGAAGAGGGGCAACCGGGACAGAATCCGGCACCCCTACCAGGACTAGAACCCGGTGTGCCGGCGCCGCAAGGCGGAGGATTAGCCTATTGAGCTGAGGTGCCGGCCACACCCATATTTTTTAAACTCTGACATAAGCATGTATGTTACCACAAATGGAAAAATTCCTCTTAAAAAAGGAAAAGGAAATCTGTTGCCTTTATTACAACTAGGAAAACCTGACCCCTAAGTGCTTACCTGATCAGCATCCACAAACAGGAATTTGTCAACAACTAATGGGAAAAGTACATCCAGGAAGAGGATCTTGTAACCCCAGATGATGCGCTGTTTCTCAGTCTGCTGATGAAGCCACCGCGGCCATTTGTACTGAACAAGCTCATACTGGAAATTGTATTTGTTTGCCATGTAAGGTATAAACTCCTGTTTTTAGACACAGGAAACAACAAACAACCATTTGTTCTGATTAAGAAAACTGACATAATGTAAGGCAACCTCCGTGATTAGGGCACAAGTAAAGTACATTCATCAAAACAGCGACCTAACAAATAACTGATACATAAAATGATAAAAATCGTTTTAAGCATAGGATTTTAGATTTATCTGTGTGTGTATGTGTTTCTACGGCACATGCACTTTAAGTCCATTTATCCATTTGTGAGTTTGACTGAGACTTCCTCAAGGCTACATCTAACTCAGGAAATAATACGGCACAGCCAAAACTCTGGACAAATTTGCTGCCATTAATGAAGTCTTTCACATTCTAAATACAAGTAACTTCTGGAGACTGGAAATGAATCATTTACTTAGGAGAGATATTACTGAATACATTAAAAGTTGTTCAGTAAATGCTATGGGAAAGGGGGGAGAGATGCAAATAAATCAATTTAGATGATGAATTCTGACTGATAAAAACAAAGCAAAAAGCTTCCATGGCTATTTTTGCTTTACACAGATGAATCATTAATTCATCATCAAATGGTAGTGGTTCATAATAAAACCAATCACTCTTTTCAATGGAAACCAACAGTGTGCTTTCTAAATTAAGGTAAGACATGCCAGCTTCAGAGGAAGGGAACATTATTCCATCAAAAGCTGCTTCGAAAAAAATATATATTCTTCTATACTCATCCTATCCAAGCTTCTAACAGGTCACAATTTTGGTCTGGTTTTATAACAAACGTTCCCATCAAACAGACCAACTGGAGGAATAATCAACATATAAACAGACAACTAAATTAAGGTATCCTAATCAACAGACAAAAACTAAAGTATCCAGATGAAAGTAGTAAGTATATATTTTGCTGTAAATATCTCCTTAATAAGAATGTTATTTTTCCCCTGTGAAACAAACCTTAAATGTAGGGGATAGATAATTCTTCAAGAACCAGAACTTCACAGGAGTCTTGGTGTTCTTCAGCACTGATAGCATCATTATGCTGCCAAGCGAAAAAGCCAATAAATAATCTTCCCATGTTTTTTAACCTCAACAATAGTAACTACAGTCAATCACAACACAGCTAAACATTCATGGCAGGACTAACTGACGGCTCAATTAAGTAGACAGAGACTTTTATCCCTATTTACACAGTTATCATTGAATGGGTGGGCAGGAACATTTCTCATCTATAAATATATACCTAACCAAGAGGCACAAAGGTTGTAATTCTGTGGTACAATTTCTTTTTTTTTCCAAAGATTTATTTTTTATATTTATTTGAAAGGTAGAGTGGCAGAGAGAGAGAGGGAGGGAGAAAGGGAGACAGAGAGACAGATCTTCCATCTGCTGCTTCCCCAAATACCCACAACAGCTAGGACTGGGCCAGGCTGAAGCCAGGGGCCAGGAACTCCATTCCAGTCTCCCACATGGGTTGCAGAAACTCAAGTACTTGGGCCATCACCTGCTCCTTCTGAGGCGCATTATCAGGGAGCTGGATCGGAAGTGGAGCAGCTGGAACTTGAACTGGCACTCTGCTATGGGATGTGGGTGTCCCAAGTGGCAGCTTCACCTGCTGCACCACCACATCTGCCCCGTGGTTACTCCTTTAAATACACTGCTTTCCTGAGTGACATACTAATTACGATACAAACGAATACTGCAGGTTGTAGTACCTGCACACCCCTGCCAAGCCACAGCAAAGTCTGGTACCAAGGAAGGGGTATGTAAGTGCAGCCTCTGATGGCCTCAACAGACAGCCCTGCCAGGGAGAGCTGGCAGAGGGGAGGGGAGGCCGATGGGTACAAGCTCAGGAGTCCCTGCTATGAAAACAAAAACGTGTTGAATTAAGGAATCTAACTAAATTCAATAATTACTATCATCTCTATGTCAGGTTAAATATTTTTCTTGGAAATAGGAGACCTAAAAGGAGTAACATGGCATTTTAATTATTTTCTATACTAGACTTGCAGTGAAAATGGAAAGTAAAATGAACTCTGGAAATTAGGAAAGTGACTCTCAGGCAAAAATGCATCTTCAGGGGTGGTGCAGTGGGTTAAGCCACCACTTGGGAGGTCCTGAGAGTGCCAGTCCTGGTACTCCCCTTCCAATCCAGCTTCCTGCTAATGCACCTTGGGAGGCAGCAGGCGATGGCCGAAGTGCTTGAGCCCCTGCCATCTCTGCGGGAGCCTGGATATGGAATTCTGGACTGCTCACTTCAGCTTCACCCACCCTCAGCTCTTGTGGGCATTTGGGAAGTGAGCCAGCAGATGGGAGATCCATCTCTCTCTGTCTCTCTTTCTCTCTTCCCCCCCTTCAAGTACATAAAATAAGTCAATAAGCATTAAAAATAAAAAGGTGCATCTTCAGAGCTGTGCCTTCCTGACACCATAACAAGGCACTCCTGCTTGCCTTCCCCTGTGGCCTCTCCAGTGTGGCGGTGAGACTCAGGCAGGTCCCCTGTGCCCTGGGTCCCAGCTGGTATAAAACAGAAATATTCTTGCACAGGATAAGAACCTTCAGAAGGCAGTGAAATGTTCCACAGGGCCTGTTCTCATTTTCTCTATGTCAAGTTCCTAATTACTAAATTCTTTCCAATTTCTCTTAATTATAAGTAACGCTTGTGGGCCACCATCTACAATGCTTGCACAGGATAGTAAGGTCTATAGCCTTGGAATACACGCACAGAACGCTCATTACATAGCTCAACTTTACAGAGTTGACCAGACCAAAACAGATGTTTACAATTACATATGGCAAGCTAGTCACAGTGCCCAAAGTACTTCAAATACACACAAACACAGTGGGCAGAATCACACACAATCTTTCCTTTCTACAAATTCTGTGACAAAATCATTCACATATATAAAATAACCAAGAAGACTAACCGAAGAAATCTTTCATAGAGATGACCAGACGCGACAGAGAAAATATTAATTATGTCATCTTTATCTTGTTTTGCATCCTCAGTCTTCTGTCCTCCCGTGAAGCCCCTGTAGTAACAAAGGTAAAAATAAGGCTGCTTGGAATGCAGGCAAACAGACATCGCACTTTAAGGAGAGAAGAGGGGGATGGTCCTTTCCCATTCCTTCCCTGGAGGGGAGATGCAGTGCGAGCTGGCATGAGATCCTCACCGGCCACAAGAGCACAGGCCGACAGCACCATGCTCCAGGGTAACAAGGACACTCACTCCAAGGCATCATGCCACTTTAGGCGTGGATGGAACACAGGCTTCTCCACAGTACACAATGTGTACAGTGGGAAAGAGAAAGGAGCAGCTACCAATCAACTCCGCAAAGAGTAGGTACTATTCAACAGATGTAAGGACAGAAGGAACTTCACTGCGAGGGGACAATAATCTCTTTTACTTAGTTAAAACATTAGGAAAACATTTGTCTACTTCAAATGTAAGTAGAAAATCTGCTACACAAAAGCAGAAGCAGAATGTGAGAAGCCCAGTCAGCATCACTATACTGAAGAGGAGGAGAGAGGATGGTACTTAGATATGTCTCAAACTTCCCTTAAAAACACAACTTCTTTTCGTGATACCAATTTACCATTTGAAGGAGTCCCAAAATCCAGACTCATTCTCATTCGTCCCATCACTCAGCAGGTCTTCGTTCACCATGTCTGCCTTCTTCTGAACCTGCAATCATATGGGATGGATCTTATTCATCCAAGTAGGTCTAATAGGCAAAAAACCGATGTGCACTGATGTACATCGTGAGTACTGTCAACACAATTCTCCCACAGGCAGGGGCAACGCACCCAGAGACTAGAAATAGTCAATAAAATCAACTGCATCAGGATGCTCACATCAGAACCTTAAGCAAAGAGACAGGACCTCTTAATTAGACGGTAACCATTTTCAGCTTGCAAAATCAATGAAGGACATCAAATTAAACTTTGAGTAAAGCCAGAAGCATGGTTCACCAGGCTGACAGCTAGTTCTGGGGAACAGTACAGCCTACACTAGCTCTGTCAGGAAGGAAGCACTTCAGGTCAAAACCTGTTTGCAGGATCTACTGGCACAGACACAGGTTGAACCTTCTCTACAGCTCTGTAACCATTTCCTGCTCAACCAGGCATGGCCTACTTTAGGTTTTACTATGTGTAATGATCACTTATCCCATAATGCATTTTACTTGAACTTAGGCCACTAAGAACTTCAAAATGCTGAGAAGAAAAAGCAGGAGTGAGAAGAAATCAAATAGAACTACCATTTTATTACAGATGTTGAAATTTTCATTGGTATTTCTCCCCAGTACTCAGAAAAAGCTGATCAACAATACTACTGTTATGACTAGTTAAGTAAGACAGAATCCATTGAGAACATTTTATATGGAATGGGATCTAACACTGCTCAGAAGGTGTGATCCCCAAGTTCAAGAATGTCACATTCTCACAGTTACAGACTTTCCTTGCAACAATACTCCTATAAACGACAATGCTAAGTCCCAAAGGGAATCTGGGACTGGTTTCAGGATCTGTTATGTTTACCTAGGGGCTACCAAATAACAGAAAGCTACTCTGCCAATAATAAACAAGTGGCTGTGTTAGTATACTCAACTCACCTTGACTTTAATAATTTTGCTTTTGAAGTTGTTGAGGATGACGACAACCTCATCGGCATCAGGAGGGGAATCAGTACCATCGTGGCTTGGAGAGAAAAGCAGGAGACATACTACAAATCCCAGTTCTCACAGGGCAGTCAACGCTCTGACAACAATCTGATGTGTTGTTCATCCTCCTTACCATAAAGGATGCTTTCAGAACAAACTATATTTCCACAACCTGAAGGAAGTCATTGCAAGCTTCACAGAAGCAACTGTCAGTCTGGATCTGCACACAAAGTGTGCACTCAACCTCCTTTACAATCCGCCTCAAGTCACCTGTCAGAGCGGGAGGCTCTCGGACATGGCAAGCACATGATGAACCCTGAACAACCGAACATGTTCACAGATCTAAGCCGGCAGAGAACCTTCCATAAAGGAGAGTGAGGGGGAATATCCCCTCTGTGCCATCACTGGAACCACATCACATCTACTCCTTACTTGGAAGAGTACTGTATAGGAATCTATGCTTTCCTTCCGTCTAGATACATAATCAACCAGGTTTAGACCCTGCACCCAAGCCAGTGCCTAACAAGCTCTATCAGCAGGGAGATGGGGCAAAGGGAGAAAACTAAAAAATAATGCTTCCCTACTAACCAGTCATCTAATTTCAAGGTGTAGAAATTCACGATAATAGGGGCCGGTGCTGTGGCATAGCAGGTAAAGCCACCGCTTGCAGCACTGGCATTCCATATGGGTGCCGGTTTGAGTCCCAGTTCCAATCCAGCTCCCTGCTAATGCACCTGGGAAAACAGTGAAAGATGGCCCAAGGGCTTGGGCCCCTGCACCCCATGTGGGAGAACCAGAAGAAGCTCCAAGCTCCTAGCTTTGGATCAGCCCAGCTCTGGCCATTGCAGCCATTTGAGGAGTGAACCAGCAGATGGAAGGCCTCTCTCTCTGCCTCTGCCTCTCTGTAACTCTGCCTTTCAAACGAATAAATCTTTATGATCAATAATAGTCATGATAATAACATGAATTCACTATGTTTGCTGTCATTCAGTAGAGCAGAGAAAGACTCTAACAAAGGTGAACCCACAGCAAGAAGCACTCCCAAGACTGAGATACCCATCTGGCAAGCCCAGAGGGCAGGAACCAGAGACAGTTAAGGAGTGGGGATCACTTCACTCTCAGGGAAGCGGGAACACTGGGGAACAACAGCACAAAGAAGGGTCAGAGTTTGGAATAACAATTAAAATTTTATAAAACCAGATCCAGAAAAAATGTTATTTGGAGAAAAATCTGTTTACAATGAAGATGTTACTATAATAGACAATTCTTTTATTTCCTGGATAAGAAAAATGATCTCATGCACCTTGCTTTCATGTGTGACAGGTAAGATAGTATGGAGCAAAGGCAAGGACACACAAAGCAGTGCTTTAAAGCAATTCTAATGAAAGTATGCCCTAGACAAATTTCTCAGAAAGTCTTCTCACACAGCTCAAAACCAGCTTAAATTATGCTAATAAGAATTTAGACCAAACTTAAGCTAATAAATATATATAATAAACCTTAAGCAAAAAGCTACTCTTGGGAAGTTCTAGGAATATTTCTAGACCCATGTAGACCAAGGATGCTAGTACCAACAATAAGGCTCCCTGGTCAAAGTGTTTGAAAATCACTTAAGATCAAGCAGAGAAGTTTGTTGTTTATTTTTTTCTTCTGTCCGAATGAATAAACTTCTCACCTGCCTATTGTCTGCAGCACCATGACTACATGGTTTCATTCTGGAAAATCATTAATGCAAAGGAGTTGCTGAAGAATACAACCTGACAATTCAAGGGTTCTTCAAAAAGTTCATGGAAAACAGAATAAAAAGTAAGTGTATATTGGTGCAAATGTTTTGAAATTTATGTACACTAAGGGACTTCAAAAAGTTCACAGAAAATGCATATTATAAAAAAACTATACATGGGTTTTATATTTTATTTCTATCTCTTATCCAATTCTACCATGATTCTCCCATATTTAACTTACTGGAAAAACACAGCTTCATCATACATATAATTATAAATTAAATTCATGTTGTCCAGCTAACTGTCAGGATAATATTCAACTAGATCTGATTCTGACTTCAAAATGTTTTGAGAAAATGCACCTGTATCTCTTATTCCCTACCTGTAGATCCTATAAATATCCTCAGAGCGACCCTTCCTAAGTCTGAGAATCCAAGCTCCTGGGTTGGCTTTTAGCTGGAAATAGCCCTAGGACAAGAAGGAAAGACAAACTTTAGTTCTCTTTAAAACATCAAAATGCTGTTTCTAAGGAATAGCTACTTCTTTTTCTGAAACAATTTTTCAGTCACCTATGATTTCAACAAGACAGCTAATAAATCAGTATAACTCTTTAAAAAAATTAACAAATATACACTGGAAACTCTAAAGTACAGGCCAGTCAAACCAAGTAGTCTGCCTTTTGGCTGTGTGTCAGTGAAGAATCAACATGGGGCTGGCTTCATGGTACAGCAGATTAAGCTACTGCTTAGCCTGGCAGCATCTCACATACAGAGCCTAGGATCAAGTCCCGGCAGCTCTGCGTCCGAGCCAGCTTCCTACTAACACATCCTGAGAGGCAGGAGATGACAGCTTAAGTACTAGGGCCCTTCCCATCCCATATGGGAGATCCAGATGGGGGTCCTAGCTCCCGGCTTTGGCCTGGCACAGCTCTGGTTGTTGTTAAGTATTTGGGGAGTGAACCTGTCGACGGAGGATGTCTCTGTTGTTTCTGTCACTCTGTCTTCCAAATTAATAAAAATAAATAGACATTAAAAAAAGAATCAATGTGTGATTTATGAATAAGCTTCAAAGCTCTAGGAAAAACATCAAGGCTGTCAGCTCAGAAGCAATTTATTTCATACAGGCCAATCACATTACAGCAAAGATTCTACTATTATCCTTTTAACTTAACATAATTCTAATCCACACATTTAACTGAATGAATGTTTTTTTATTGACCAAACTGAGCCAATTATGAATTTTAATCTCACTCATGGTTCAGAAAGCTAAACACTCTATCATCAATTATGATAATGCCAATTAGCATAGTGACTATAGCGCCATCTGATGAACTGATTATTTACCAGATTGGCCATGACAATGGTATCCACGATGACAGGATTGGTTGAGGTTCCTAATGTAAACTGCAGTCCTCGTGGGGGTTGGCCCGTGGTGACGTCATAGCAATGACCTTCCAGTAATAGGTATTCCAGCTCATACTCAGCAGCCACTATGCTGTCCACCTGCAATATTGAAACTGAATTACTTGAAGACTGCACAGCTACATGGATAAATCTGAAATGCATTTCATAAAAGGAATGAAGCAGACAAAACAGACTTACATACTGTATGGTTATATTTTAAGAAATTCAAGAAAAGACAAAACTACACAGGGACAGAAAGAAGATCAGTAGTTTCCTGAGGCAAGGGGAAAGAGGGGCCTGCCGCAAAGTGCTGGCTGCACAACTCTGAACATATTAGAACTCTTAACCTGTACAGTTTAACACGGGCTGGCATTGCGGTGCAGCAGATTAAGCTTCCACCTGTTATGCTGCATCCCCTATTGGAGTTCTGGCTGCTCCACTTCCAATCTATCTTCCTGTCAATGTGCCTAGGAATGCAGCAGATGGTGGTCCAGGTAACTAGATCCCTAGCACTCATGTGGGTGAACAGGATAGAGTTCCTGGCTCCAGGCTTCAGCCTGGCCTAGATCTGGCCATTGCAGTCATTTGGGGAGTGGACCAGTGGCTAGAGGAGCTCTTTCTGTGTCTCCCTCTCTCTGTCATTCTGCCTTTCAAATAAATAAATAAATCTTTAAAGAAAAGGGTAAAGTGCATGTTATCTGAATTACATCTGACACTAATGTCTTAAGAGGCCCTTCTAGACTGATATGATCTACTACTGGGTCTGAGCCTACCACCATTGCACCATACATGGGTTTATATACAATTAGGAATTTGGAAGTAATGACGATCTTACCTCTTCTAAATAAATATTATCAAGATCGTAGGGTGTTCTGACAGATTCTACCATCCAACTCTCAGGGGTGTTCAGATTCAGAGTGAATAGTGGTGACTGTGGCATATCCAAAAATTTTGCTATTGGACCTTTAGCAAAGCTGTTGTCTGCACTGAAAGAAATCTCTGGTTCTAAGACATAACGGTAAAAGCTGAAATCAAAAAGAGAAGTGTTAAGTGTTTTTCTGTGTGACATGTCCTTGAGTTTATAAGCACTCACACAAGAAAACAAATGGCTTTCAACAATCCAGATTTCCAGGGCTATCCTTCCAGGTTTGGGAAAGTGTTCCCAGAATCACCTTTTGACCTAATGATGTGTCCTGGGGTAGCTGCAGATGCAAGAGGAGGGTAGGGCTGAGGAGAGGCCATTCCCTCGTGGGGGTGGCTGCTATCAGGGTCACATGCACCTCCAAGTTTCTGAGTACTTAAGTCCCTTCAGGGAGAACTCACTTTTCTCTTAAAAACCAAGATCTAGACAGGTTCTCAGGCTTGGCTTGAAAACACTGTGTATGTAAACACTTCTCCCCCAGGACAGGGGAGAAGCTGGCAAACCTCAGAGACTTGGCAAACACTGTTTCAATCCACTCAGAAATAACTGGCAGAAGGCAGCACATTCACAGGTAAGGTACATCCCACAACAAGTGTTACACTAGCATCGCTAATGCTTTTTATGTTACATTTCCGTAAATGACCACTCCAAAGCACCTCACATCATACAGCTATCCTCCCTTTGAAAACACAAGCAAGTGAGCTTAAGCAAGATTCCTCTAATACATGTACTCCAATTTGAAATTACTCTAAAGATGAGAAGCACAAACACAGGTAGCCTGGGTTAATGCCACGTAAATGCTTCCATGTCCATATAATGTTTTAGAGGAAAAAAAATGAGAAAACTGAACTTTTATTAAATGATCTTTTCAAACATGATGTCCACCACTTGATCTTTAAATATCAGCTTTTGGATTCGGAACCATTTTATCTTAAACAGTGTTTTACCTTTTTAAAGGCATGTCGGAGAGTTTAGATTGGCAGTTCATAAACACTCGTAGATTCACGTTTAACAGCTGAGCCAAAACCTAAAAGGATAAACCAGGTGACAAAAAAATTAAATTTTCTCTTCCGAAGTTTATCACTTTACACTTAGTTAAAAGCAAGAACATTTCTTAACACTTCAACAAAAGATGTTAACAATCAGTGCCATAAAGGTACATTGGAGAAAGTTCAGGAAATATCTCTCGTGAAGAACCTAAATCACATATACAGGCAAGGGTCCTTTTAAAAGCTCATGAAAAATGGGATTTAAAGATAAGTTTGTTTTGGTATAAAAAATTTTGAAAATCCATGTTTATCGTATGATATAGTTTAAAAAAAAAAAAAAACAGGAAGCAGGCCATTGCAGAGGACTGCTCCTTACATAAACAAAATTTAATGCTCAGTTTTAGGGAAGCCATGGATAACAGATATCTGTTCAAAGAGGAAAATGTTAGGGCTCACTACTACTGCTCACAAACTGAAGTATGACAAACATCTACAAAAAGTTAGGTGATTATACTTCAACAAAAATGTTACCTTAAAAAACTCAACTGAAAGAAATGATGGTATTATCTTTTACCTACCAAAAAGACATACCACTATCAAAAAATCTGTGGTAGTCAGAGAAAAGGAAAAGGAAAAGTCAGAACTGTTACCTCTTTCCATTATTAATTAAAATATAGCATAAATCAACTTAATTCAAAGATATATTGCTCTAGATGAGGATGTTAATAACTTTTAAATGATGTGAGGTGGTAAGTGAAACTTGAGCCAACTTTCTACAGCTATGAAGCTGTCATCAGAAGCCTTTATCAACCTTGACGAAGGCTGCCCAGCCAAGCAGGCCCTGTGGCATTTACCAACGGCCCTTGAAGACGACTCAGAGAAAAATGAAGCCCACAGAAACATGGACACATGACAACATCAGACAAAGACGACGCCAAGCGCCTGTGCAGCTGTCCCTACCAAGAGCAAGGGGGTGAGCCTCTGTGCTTCTCGGGTGACAGGGTCAATGACAGCCAGGACATCAAAGTACGTCTCCCCTTCCTTCGGTTTCAGTTTAATGGCACTACAAAGATCAAAAGGATCAGACATTAATATGGAAGAAAGGAAACAAAGTTAAGACATCACTGTTTTGTCCAAAAGAACCCATCAGCCCTCTTAGCACTTGAAAACATTTTAGATCTAGAATAACTAGGCTGTAATGGTGGTCAGCTACGTGATCAGCTCTATTTCAAAGTCAGCAAAACATTAATAACGGGCTCGCTCGAAATGTCTTGAAAGATCTGTGTGAAGCAAGGAAAATCAGTTGGAAATTATATTCAACCAAAAACAGCTAAAAACTACTGATGCTAGCTCGTGAGAGTTAAGGAACATTATGTCGACTTTTACTCCTTGGCAAGAAGGACATGAGGAAAGAAGGAGTGAATCAATCTTTTCAAAATGATAAAAGGAAAACAAGAACATTCCAGAAAACCCACAGAGAAAAAGAGGAAATATAAAATCTCACTGTCCCATCACTTTACTGCATCTTTATAAAATCCTTTTCAGATGTCTGTATAAAAGGTAGCTGTAACTATAGAATATTATTAGCAATTTTAAAACCATTTTGTTCTTTTCCCTACTTTAGCAGAATTATATTCAAATATTATATATCAAACATCATGAATAAGGAATATTTTACTTACCAAGAGACTATGCCATGGTTTACTTAAGCTATTCTTTCTAGCTGGACATTTAGATGGCTTTTGATCTGTAAACAATTTATACACTCCAGAATATGGAGGCATGAGATTATAGAATCACAGGATCTGAATACTTTTGTGGCTAATATGGTTGCCAATCAAATTTCCTGAATAACTAACCAATTTACAAAGCTAAAAAAATGTTCCCCACATCCTCACCAGAATTACCTTGACAGCTCGTTAGGCTTGCACCTGTACCTGCAGGATACCTGGGGGAATTCACATTCACCACACACAACTTCCTGTGGCAAGGCTTTCCTCTGAAGCCACACTGACAGGTAACTTAAGAGGAGCAGAGGCCTCAGTTTCAATTCAAAAAGGAATCAACCTGAAAGGATTTCAAACTACCCCCAATCTTTCAAAATCACTAACTGCAGCAACCAATCAATGGATCTACTTATATTGGTCACAGAAATGGCCAGAATAAAGTCAAAAGATATAGAAATGAGGTCAGATCTGGAGATCATATACATTAGCCTAGGGTGCATTATACTTCACCAAGGAAGTACTGTTCACAGGAATCACTGAGAGAGATTCTATTAAGATGTAGATGCTGGTTCAGTATGCCAGGCAGTACCTGCTGCTCGTCCTCCGAGTGCTGGACACTCTGAGATCTAGGGTGTACACAGACAGCTCAGATCTTCCTGTTTCTAGCATAAATGAGAGACTTCTGATTTGAATACAGTAAACACTCATTTCACTAATACAACCACAATGAGAAAAATTCTTCTAACCACAATATAATCTTATGGCCGGCGCCGCGGCTCACTGGGCTAATCCTCCGCCTGCGTTGCCAGTAGTCCAGGTTCTAGTCCCAGCTGGGGCACTGGTTCTGTCCCGGTTGCTCCTCTTCCAGTCCAGCTCTCTGCTGTGGCCTGGGAGAGCAGTGGAGGATGGCCCAGGTGCTTGGGCCCTGCACCCACATGGGAGACCAGGAGAAACACCTGGCTCCTGGTCTCAGATCAGCACAGTGCGTCGGCCGCAGCGGCCATTGGAGGGTGAACCAGCGGAAAAGGAAGACCCTCTCTCTCTCTCTCTCTCTCTCTCACTAACTCTGCCTATAAAACAAAAAAACAAAAAAAACACACAATATAATTTTATCCTGACAGAATTTGTAATTAGGGCACTTTCATTATTAAAAACTCAAGGAGATTCATGGAAAAAGGATGTTCTGGAAAAGGAAGAGGGCTTCCTTTACTCAGGACTCACTATCTTGGCCATGAAGGACAAACACGAAAGGTCACTCAGGAAACGTTTGCTGTGCTAATAACAAGAAAATGAGTTACCTGCTGAAAGCAGGCAAAGGGTTGTGAAGACGGATACATGTGAGTGCAGGTGGCGAAATTCAACAAGGGTTAGCCAGGAGCCACAGAAATGGCTGTTCACTGGTGATCTGCAAAATCAGGAGACCTAGCAGTGACAACAGAGGGTCTGCATTCCAACCTGCGATCATCAAACGGTCTGCAGGCACCAATCGCATCTCCACAAGGACTGGCTATGACAAAGCCACTAAACCGACCCACACCAGAGTAATCAGGTCAGAATCACACTGAGTAGGACACAGCATGAGGCACAGTTAAGCTACGTACCCGCCAGACAAGGCAAGGGCTACATATCTTAACTGTGCAGGGGTCTCCCTAAAAACAGCCCAGGTCTAATCATGAGGAAACATCTGAGCTGCAGGAAACTCCAAAGACAACTGTCTTAGACTCAAAAAATGTCAACAGCATAAAAGACAAATGACTAAAAATGGGAGGCTGGGGGATATCTTCTGGACTAAAGGCAAAAAGACACAACTAACAGTAACATGATCTAGACCAAAATAAACATTAAAAAACAGCTGTAAAAGGTCATGACTGAGACATGGAAAAACGTGAAGAAGGTCTGTGTGCTCAAGTCACTGCCTGAAGGTCAGATTTCTGGGGTGTGCTTTATAGTGCTGTGAGGAAATCCTAGTGCTCAGGAGATGTCTAAGTCTCAAGGCCTGTTGTGTACTAACATCTGCAAGGGACTTTCCAATGGTGCGGAGAAGTGCGACTGTGTGTATTCAACACATGAACATTATGTATGCCACGCACACACACACACACACACGCACGCACGCAATGATTAATGCGAATGCAGCATGCCCTCAATTGATGATCTAGGTTAAAATAAATTAAATTTGAATGTAAAATGTGGGGCCAGTGCTGTGGCATAGTAGGTTAAGTCTCTACCTACAGCACCAGCATCCCATACAGGCACCGGTTCATTTAATTCATTTTAATTCCACTTTCCACAAACTTTTTGAAGTATCTTTGTTCAGACCTGACTTGCGTGTATGTTGACATTTATATCTGAGTGCATACTTGTAGCAGAAAACAGACTGTTTAGTGAAACAGACCAGTTGATATCTCTGTCTCCCTAACTCTGCCTCTCAAATAAATAAATAAATCTTAAAAAAAAATCTTGAGTTGTTTGCAGTGCAAATTATAAAATTATGCATATACCTTAACCTTGAACTTTCTGAAGTACGCCTGCATATGAATTTTACATATGAATATGAATGTGTATCTGAAAATCCAGCATTTTCCATTTCTATCACAACTTAAATACTTAACTTGTAGGGAAAAAGTAAAGGAACTGAGGCAAAGGCAAACATAGTTTAATATTCAAGAATATGCATAAACTTTACATTAATTATATACCTGTGTTTTTCTTCAAAAAACTGGTACTCGATTCTTGCTTCTCCTTTTGGTTGAGCAGACAGGAGTGCATCCACCTTCATCACCAAGTCACTTGCCCTGAAAGATAGGGTTAGTGAAGTCTTAGTATCCCTTTATCCCAAAATTGGCCAATTCTTACCAAACACATCAGCCCAATGCTGAATGCCAACAAGACAGTTTGAATAAAGGCATTAGCTCTGAACTGACAGGCATGAGAAAAAGCATGATTTTATAAGTGATTAGCTATATAACTGTGTGCAAGTCACTCACTTTTCTGTATATGAAGTTGAAATAGCACCTCCTCCGCCTGGCTTTATAAACACTGCTCTTACTAAACCTATCAAGCACCTGTCCATGGCTTGCCCATTACGGGCTATCAGTATAATTTTCTCCCTCACCTTCTTTCAAATGACTTCAGTTATTTATGTATTTGAGAGACAGAGTGAAAGAGAGAACTCATTACTTTTTATGATCCTTAGAGCAATATTGCACTAGAAAAACATTCAGAAAAAATATAAATAAGAAATAAACAATACAGATAATATCAAGAAATAAGCTCTGACATTCTGGCTAATAATTTTGTATTTTAAAATGGATATTTAAAAACAAATGTAGAAGTACACTACTTGGCAACCTGCCTTTTCAATTAAAGTATAAAAGTCTTTTTATTGGTCAATAAATACAGGGATATATCAATATTTTAAATAACTATAATATATTTATAGATACATGATAATCCATTAAATCATCCAGCTATTAAACATCTATATTGTTTCCAACTTCAATATTATAACCAACTCTGTAGTAAGTAACTTAGAAAATCATTTTTGTTTCCTCTGCACCTTCCAAAGCTTCCCATTAACCCAGGTAGAACTTGAACTAAATTATGAACCTGAAAGCAATGCTCTAACTTGTTGAACCAAAGACAACATCCCAAATAAGAATTTTACAACAGTACTTCAGGGGCTGGCATTATGGTGAAGCAGGTTAAGCCACCACCTGCCATGCTAGCATCCCATGAGTGCCAGTTTAAGTCCCAGCTGCTTCACTTCTCATTCAGCTCCCGGCTAATGCACCTGGGAAAGCAGCAGAAGATGGTCTAAGTGCTTGGGTCCCTGCCACCCATATGGGAGACCTGATGGAGTTTCTGACTCCTGGCTTCAACCCAGCCCCAGCTCCAGCCACTGCAGACATTTGGGGAGTAAACCAGAAGATGGTACTGTCTGTCTCTGCCCCTCTCTTTACTCTGCCTTTCAAATAAATAAATAAACCTTTAAAAACATTTTTTTAAAAAGAGCATTTGTGGGCCAGCACTGTGCCACCACCTGCAGTGCTGGCATCCCATATGGGCACCAGTTTGAGTCTTGGCTGCTCCACTTCCATTACAGCTCCCTGCTAATGCACCTGGGAAAGAAGCGGAGGATGGCCTAAGTCCTCAGGCCCCTGCACCTGCATTGAAGACCTGGATAAAGCTCCTGGCTTCGGTCTGGCACAGCCCTGGCTGTTACGGCCATTTAGGGAGTGAACCAGCCGATGGAAGATTTTTCTCTCCATCTCCCCTTCTCTCTATAATGCTGTCTTTCAAATAAATATTTTTAAGAGCATTTGTGATTATATGTGAAGAGTAATCAGGCTTATTCTTTTTATCTTTCAACACCAAACAATTACATCAAGTTACTTCCTTTGGTTGATCTTCTCCATGCTAATTTTGAAAACATATAATCCAGGTCATTTGCTTCCTGTGATGTGTCAACATGGCCATAAGACACATAACAGAACATCAAAGAACATGTAACCAAGCTTCAGAAAGCTGAGCACAGGCATAGAGCTGGAGGACTGGATGAGGAATGAAAAGTGGTGGCTACAAAAGGGAAATGGGGGCAAAGAGGTGGGTGTCACTCCAAGGTGGAGCAGCCCTGGCACTAACAAAAGCTCTAAGAAGGCAAGAAAATTCCGAGAAGCTAAAGAGTTTTAGCATCAATCTTTCGGCAGTCCCATAACTATCTTATTTCCCTAAACTACCCAGGACAGATCCAGACCAATTCTGACTAGCAAAGGGTAAGTCTTGCAAGCATGGTCTAGCAAGTATTAAGGCATAACGACTCCAAGCAGCTCCCAGAAAGCCTCCAGTGGTCCGAGACACTAACCCAAGACTATGCCTGAGACATGGTTTGCTTCCTGGTCAGCAGAAAGGGGGCAGCCAGTAGGCCAGGGCATGGGCCTGGAACCACTTAAGAACCACTGAGGAAGGCAGAAATCTCATCAGTAACTGTAGCACTGGCAGAGGTGGAAAGATTTCCTCTTGTATTACATGAGACTTGGCAAAGGGAGTGTTTAGGCAGCCATCAAAGTCAACGCTTCACTAACACACCCATCTTGACCAATACACCATGATGATATATGAAAAAGCCAAGGGGCAAGCACTGTGCTGTAGTGGGCTAAAACTCCGCCCATGACACCAGCATCCCATATGGGCACTGGTTTGTGACCTCTTGCGATCCAGCTCTCCGCTTATAGCTTCGAAAAGCAGTGGAGGATGATCCAAGTGCTTGGGCCCCTGCACTCACATAGGAGACCTGGAGGAAGCTGGATCCTGGCTTCAGATAGGCTCAGCTTCGGCTGTTGGGAGTGAACCAGCAGATGGAAGACCTTTCTGTCTCTCCCTCTCCCTCTCCGTAACTCTGCCTCTCAAATAAATAAATAAATAAAGTCTTAAAAAAAAAAAAAAAAAAGAAAAAATTGAAGGAAACAATCTAGCAGAACTTTGAAATCTTGTTAACTCCCATCCATGTAGCCAAGGACATTTTATAGAGAGCAAAAAAGCAACTGAGAGAATGAGAGAAAATATTTGCAAAGCAAGTATCTGATAAGGAATCTTCAAGATCCAGACTATACAAAGAATATCTACACCTCAACAACACAATTAAAAATGAGTGAAGTAATTCAATAGATATTTTCCCAAAGATAGACAAATGGCCAATGTGCATATGAAAAGATGCTCAACACCACTCAGTGGGAAAGTGCAAATCAAACCATAGGGAGATACTACTTCCCACCCTTGACTATTGCTATGGCGAACAAAAACCTGAAAGACAAAACAACATGCGCTGGTGAGCATATAGAGAAACCGGAACTCTTGGACACTGTTGATGGGGATGTAAAATGGGACAGCCACTGAGGGAAAAGGTATAACAGTGCCTCAAAACACCACACATAGAACTATATCCTCCAACTACATACCTCATTTGATGTCTAACACAGAAACTAGGAATATATGACTTATGAGCCCTAGCTACCCAGTAGGGACCCAGTCCAGTCAGGCCACTTTTGTGCAGCCAGAGAAATAAAACACTAAAATATATTAGCTAATAAAATTACTTAAATAATTAAGATAAAAAAATGAAAGTAACCAAATATCATCATCACCTTTGGAGGATACAAGGGAAACAACTCAGTATTCTGCTTTGGTAAGTGAAGAAAAGGAAGTGCTTAACCTGACTTCCCTTTCCTAAACAAAATTAAATTGAAGAGTAACTAAACAGATGACCAACAAAAGTCTGTCCTTATGTAAGTGTCCCATATAAAAAATAAACTGGCCCCTCCCTTTTGCATAAGCTTGAAATTTTCCAGAACCGAAATTAAAAAATTAATTAAAATGGAGAGAAATAATTCAGTTCTTTAAATAGCAGCCTTCTAAGTAAATCAGCTTGTTTCAATAGGAACAAATTAAAACTGGAAGAGCTAATGTTATTACAGAAATAAAATTTCCTGGAATAGACAGTGAATGTGACCACACATAGTCCCACCTTTTGCCAATGAGGAAAGTCCAATTTATATAATCAACTGGGGAAGAACTAATTAATGTCCCCTACAGCAAAACTTACACATCTTCTTCTACTCGAAGCTGTTGAATGTGTGATTTTATCTTTTGTCCTGAAGTTTTTAAGATGATATTTTCTAGGAGGTGAAAATCATCCTGATTAAAGAGCTCATTATCTTCCAGTGGCCCAATGATCTGGGACAAAAGAGCAGACAGTCAGTGTGGAGAGCATCTGCACCAGCTGCAGCCAGCAGCCCTTTGTGGTCTCTCCCAGAACCCAAATCTCCTGAAGGACCCAAGACAAGCGTATATGTCTCAATGAAATTAATGAAAAATCAAAACATAAAGCCTTAACCAACTCACAGCTGTTTGTTTACTGATCAATCTCTTACGTAGAAGGTAGGCTTATCCACTTCACATTATTTTTACAGTGATAAACTTTGACATAAAATATGCTAGTAATGTAGTTTTCATTCATTCTCACTGAATATAAACAAAAAAAAACTCCTTTATGTGTCAAAGGTCAGATTGACTTCTGTCCTGAAAGCCACCACACTCACCACCTCCCACAACACCAGGAAGGCTCCACACAAGGTCACTGATGTCAAAAGCATACTTCCATGGAAATAAAGGGCAGCCACATCACTGATGCATGGTAAGCCCTAATCATCTCTGTTTGAACAGTCTACTAGCTTCTGAGGACAGTTCTGCAAAGACTGTTCATGGACCTAAGTGAAGTCAAGTGTGTTTCAGCCTGACAAATGCTCACCCTGCCATTGCTGATCACCGCCCTCTGTCCCTTCTTCAGCTTCAGAACATCCTTGCAATATATGGCATGAGACAAAATGAAATCCAGCTTGGAAGACTCAAAGACCTCTTTGAAAAGACCGAAATCCATGCCCTGGGAAAGCAATGGTTATTAAGGGAAAGTAGCTGTTATTAAGCGAACCTTAAGAATGAATAATAATAATGAATACATCATAAACTGTACTTTTATTGGAAACTAATTACTAACGTTCACAGTCAACATCACGATGTCTCAATTCTCCATCTGCACCTCCTCTCCCCCTTATAAAACTGCTTGTTTCTTATTCCCATTTTCTCATGTAACTTGTTCAACTGGCAGACAATTCTTCAAGAATATCTGTATTCTGCATTTTATTTTAATTTTATTTTTATTATTATTATTTTGGACAGGCAGAGTTAGAGTTAGAGAGAGAGAGAGAGAGAAAGGTCTTTCTTTTCCGCTGGTTCCCCCACAATGGCTGCCACGGTCGGCACGCTGCGCCGATCCAAAGCCAGGAGCCAGGTGCTTCCTCCTGGTCTCCCATGCGGGTACAGGGCCCAAGCACTTGGGCCATCCTCCACTGCCTTCCTGGGCCACAGCAGAGAGCTGGCCCGCAAGAGAAGCAACAGGAACTAGAAACCGGTGCCCCAACTGGGACTAGAACCAGGGTGCTGGCACCGCAGGCGGAAGATTAGCCAAGTGAGCCGCGGCACCGGCCGCTGCATTTTATTTTTAAAAACTGTTTATTTGAAAGGCAGAGACAGTCAGATAGGGAGCCCCCATCTTCTTGTTCGCTCCCCATATGACTTCAACAGCTGGACCTGGGCCAGGCTGAAGCTGGAGCCAGGAATCCAGGTCTCCTCCCAAGTACTTGACAGGGAAACAAGTACTTGAGCTATGACCCCTGCTTCCCAGGCCGTGCACTGGCAGGAAGCTGGAAGCAGAAGCAGGGCCAGGAATTGGACCCAAGTACTCAGAAGTAGCCTTCTCAATGGCTGTGCCAGACACCTGCCCCATTCTACATTTTAAATCTTGCTAATTTCAAGTGACAGCTATTTTTTATAACTGAAATTTCATGTATACACATCATTTTATATGAAATTTTCAAATTATAAAAAATTAAAACACTCTCAGAAAGTACAATTACATAAATGAATTTGGGTTTATACTGGAAACACATCAAGAGCACCCAAGCAGGGCTGGCAGTGTGGCACAGCGGGTAAAGCCGCTGCTTGTAGTGCTGGCATCTCTTATGGGCACTGATATGAGACCCAGTTAAATCACTTCTGATCCAGCTCTCTGCTATGACCTAGGAAAGCAGTAGAAGATGGCCCAAGTCCTTGGGGCCCCACACTCACATAGGAGACCTGGAAGAAGCTCCTGGCTCCTGGCTTCAGATTGGCCTAGCTCTGGCCATTGCGACCAGCAGATGGAAGATTTCTCTCTGCCTCTGCCTCTCTGTAACTCTGCATTTCAAACAAATAAGTAAATATGTAATTAAATTAAAAAGAGCTCCAACTTCTAAGTGGCTCAAACTTCACTCTTGTGCTCTATAAACCAATCAAAACATTGCCTATCTTTAAAAAACTGTGCAGAACAAATGGCTTTGTACACAGAAAAACTTTTATCATGCACATCTTGAAACATAGGCAAGTTTAAAATGTGATAGAATTATTTCTTGGAAAGATCTTCCAAATTAAAAACAAACAAGGCAAAATCCTGGGACTCTGGATTGTGAATGGGAAACGTCCCACGGGTGTGGGGAGCAATCCGGACTGGACTGAGTTACTGGAATTAAGACTTATTCTATGCATCTGCTCTCCTCTGTGGGGAGCAGCTTGGACTAGACTGAGTTACTGGAATTAAGACTTATTCTATGCATCTGCTCTCCTACAGTATGGCGCTGGGGGAGGAGAAAACAGCTTCTACCCAGCTGCCTCCAGTTCAACCAATTAACTGTAGGACTTGCTCCTGATTGGAGAGCAGCGTACTCAGCCGAGTTGGGATTGGCAGAAGAGGACTATAAGGGAGGAGAGAGACGGCATGCACCAGGAACATCTATGGGGAACATCTAGCTGAGGGAACCCGTGCAGCCCCCGAGAGAACCGGCCGGCGGTGTGCCGCTCCCCTGCGGAAGTGGGGAATGCGGCCAGGGGGAACTGCCCTTCCACGGAGGTGGAAGGGATAGTGGCCAACCCGGGAAGAACCAGCGGCAAACCCGGGGAGGGCCGAGCAGACGAAAGAACAGCGCAGGGTCCTGTGTTGCTCCTCCACGAAGAGGGGGAGCGACATAATGGTGCCGTGACTCGGATAGGAAACCTAGCTCGGATAGGAAACCTAGGACGGATAAGGAAACTTAGGAGGGAAGAAATGACTCGGATAGGAAACTTAGGAGGGAAGAAACGGGAAGAAGTGGAAAATACCGGAGAGAGAGACTAGCGAAGAGCCTAGGGGAAAGCCAGACGAGAAAGGTGCCGGAAGAAGCTATTGAAAGCCTAGGCATAGACTCGGATATGGACTGTGGGAAAGAAGTTAGGATTGACAGCGAAAGTGAAAGCTTTCATAGACTCGGATGCGGACTATGGCGGGGAAGCTAGGAGACTGAAAGCGAAAGTGAAACCTGGAGGAGGCTTGGACTCGGATACGGACTGTGGGGAGTAGCCAGGAGAAATGAGAGGAATATTGTTGGAAGAAAACTTAAGGAAACATACCGGGTAGAGAAAAATGTTAGGGAGGATGAAGCCGCGAGTGCAGGCCGAGGTGGAGATATAAGCCACCTTGGAATTCTTCAAGTCACCCCGGGGAGCAAGAGGCGAGAGATCTGGAACCAGAGGCAGAGACGTGGGGCCGCCAGGATTCGCCAGGTTAGTCCGGGGAACTTGGACTGAATGCCGGTGGTGGCGGAAACATTCGCGGGAAGCCGCCGCGTGCAGAGAGAGCACGGGCGTTGGCGCAAGGGCGTGGTGCAGGCGCGAAGTGCATGGAGAC